AGCATTGTAAAGCTCCAAATAGAGCAACCACTGCCTTATTAGCGGCTATGATCCAGTATTAATTATTTCTTTGCAGAAGTCACAGTGGGAAAAAGAGGAGTAACTTTTTACCTTTTTCTTCTTGCCAAAATTTTGTAAATGTACGGCCAATGATTTATGGTCTACCATTGTTTGGATATGACTTTGAGTTTGCATGTGGAGTTTGCATTAGGAAGCATCTTAAGGAAAAGAAGAATAAAAAATCTGTTTTGTTTTGTTTCACAGACCAACAACAATCTTCTGACTTTTAGGTGTATTTTTGTTCATGCTAATCTTGAAAGCTGTGATCACGGGTACTTTGTTGCTGTTTTTTTTTTTTAAAGAAACCCACTGAAATAGCAACATTTAGTGATTTTCCCAGTTCCTGGGGAACAAATTACTATGTTTAAAAGTCAAGTGACAGCAGATTTTCCTCTTTTACACCCAGAACTGCTTCAAGGATTGAAAATGCTAAATTAAATGTCCAGTGGTCTTTATGGAAATAAATGTTAAAAAGGCCAGAACAATATATGCTTCTGTTCAAAGAGGCTCATAGAAAACATTAAGCTTTGAGTGGGTTTGATTAATTCAAAACATTCTATTTAGGCTAAATAGAGGGAAGCATTTGGAAACAAAATCCACAAATCAACAGATATGACATTCAGACGTAGCTGTGGGGATTTCTCCAAATGCAATCTTGCATACTATCAACAACTCATGCTCATTTTATGGTAATTATTCTCTCATTAGAAAAAGCTCAGCAGGTTGACCCGGAGTAGCGTGGCTGTAAGTTTGTGGCCGATGTGATACTTGACTGAGATGGATTACACCGGTCTGCTGAGGACATTCTTGCTGGTAAACTAGATGAGCTTTGGTCCAGTGGACTCATCAGAGCCACTCTCTATGACTTCCCATGCATGAGCTTCTAATTAGACCAAATAAATGAGTGGAGATCTTTCAGTGTGGAAATTCACCACTACGGGGGTACAATACACTCCAAACTCTATTGAATCTGTAATGGAAATAATTTATCATGCTTATAGTGTGTGACCTCCACCTTTTGTATGAGCTGCTTAATATTCTACCCGGATAACGCGGCGGGAAGTCTCACTTGTAACATTTAGTGCAAATATTTTGTTCTTCAGCTGCTGCTACTTTCTCAAGGTTGACCTTGAAATTTAGAGAAGTATTTTTTAGACTGGGTGAGACTAGGAGGGATAGTTTCATTACAGCACAACTTTGCTTTCCTATCATTGTACAAAGCAGTTGAGTTTAATGGAATAGCAGTAAATGTCTGACTTTCTAACAGTGTAATGTATCTATGGAGACATAAATAAAAGCCTCCTGTTTCGGGTCCAACATTTTGGTCATCAGTATATTCATCATTGCCACTTTTCACAATACCTTTGCAAACATGCAGAAGCAGTTTGTGGAAGGACTGAGAATGAGTTTGAGAGGAATTAACGGAGTGAATAGCAGCCAGGTGCTTTTTATCAAATTGAATACATTAATTGATCTTCAGCAAGTGTGAGGTCTTTCCTAATAGGAGATGTTTCAGCAGTTTGCTGGTGTGTGTGTGTGTGTGTGTGTGTGTGTGTGTGTGTGTGTGTGTGCGTGCGTGCATGTGTGTGTGTGTGTACTTGTCTTTATGTGTTTAAGTGAACACATTTTTACTTTTAACCTGTAATGTGTGGACATGTCCACAGTGTGAGGACATTTGGCTTGTCCACAAAGTGCAAAAAAAAACATAACTTGGTTTTTGAGGTATGGTGTAAGTTAACTTCTAGTTTAGGTTACCCCAATTCACACCGGAGCCATCAGCAGCGCGGAACGACAGCTGAACGGTTTACATGCTATTTTTGCTGTGTTGCCAGTACAAACCAGAAGAATCTCAGCCACGGAGCAGCTTCTCTATCGTGCTCCTTGCTGGATTTGTGAGATCACAGCTTGTTTAGGCTATAATTGAACCAAAAAGAAGAAAATCACATTTGTTATCATTGTTTGATGCCAGATATGATGTTGTTCCTCTCCGCTGCTGGAATTAAAGCCATGAAAACACACTGTTACACTTCTGGGATGATGTTGAGAGAAAATAAGCCATTAGGTCACGTGTATTGACGTAATAGAAATGAAGTTGTATTTTATTTTGAAAATTACAGAGGGTTTTACACTGAAACTACATGTGATTTTGTGTCTAGCCCTATGTTAACTGCAGAAAGTGTTGCGTCCCAGAAGCGACTAGTGGCAAAATTGAACCCAATGCCATCTTTAGAGGTGCAGCGTGCCGCTTCTGGGATGCACCAAAAAATGGCGGCTGGTTTGAAAAAAAAACCCATAGACTATAATGGATTGTATTTGAAGGAGTGACGTTCCACTGCTCCTCTGTACCGCTGATGCTTCCAGTGTGAAGTAGGTGTTAGGATTTGTGTGTGTGTGTGTGTGTGTGTGTGTGTGTTTGTCATTGCACCATACTGAGGACCAATGGCAACATTTGAACCAATAATGTGAGGACATTTAGGCCTAGTCACACGTAGCCAGGTTTTTTCAAAAACGAATATCTGGCCCTCCAAAAACTTGCATCCACACCACCTCGTTTAAAAAAAAACTCTGTCCACACGTACCCGGATAAATACGTTGTTAAGGACATGCCAGATCTGTAGGCAGCAGTACTTCCCCCGTTCTTAACCTCGTCCTTCGTCTGTGGTCTTCCGCAAGGAGCAGTAATTCCGCTTGCAAAAGCAAACAAGCAAAAAGCGCTTGGACAATTGATAAAGCGAGCGCAGCTCTGAGGCCATCCATGATGTCGGCTAGTGTAAACACAGGTCGCACACGTGATGTCAGCATTTTTTTTGTCACGGAAAGTGACGTTGCGGACCTTAAAACTCCGGTTTTGTCTGTCCACACGCAGACACCCAAAACGGAGAAAACGCAGATCTTCACTTTGGCCGGAGTTTTTAAAAAAATCCGTTTTCGTGTGAATGACAGGCCAAAACGTAGAAAAATATCTACGTTTTGGCAGATCCCTGGCTACGTGTGGACAGGGCCTGAGTCTGGTCTTCACTTTGGTACAATGTTACAGAGGCCTGTTAGTTTTAGTGGTATGGTGTGAACTAAAATTCTGTAAAAATTTTGGTTAAGCATAATTAAGTCACTACCATTAATGGAAGTCAATGAGGTTCCTCACAATAAATGCAAGATTTGAAATCTTCATCTGAAATCTGAAAAATCTGAAGATGAGATTTGTGTGTGTGTGTGCGTGCACGTGCGCACGTAAGTGTGTGTGTTTGTGTGTGCACAATGCAGCTGAGGAAAGACATAAGCAGTGATCTTGAAGAGGAAACTGTTTGCGCCAATCAATCCAGTGAGGGCCATAAGGCCAATTCCAAACTATTTAGAGTCCATCATTCCAGCAGTTATAAAGAATAATCACTGGTGCAAAATATTAGAGATGATTGCTGGTCTTCTATCTAAACTGTAATGCTTGTTCAAGGTCAAACCCTTTAATGGTGATTGTAACTGAGAAGGTTCATCTCAAGTGGCTGATCCTCCTAAGTAAATAAATAAATAGATATGAATTCAGTTAAAACACAGAAACATGTCATTAATTCTGTAGTGCTCAATAGGCGTGGCCAGTGTTGGGGTTTTATGACTTCTTTCACAAAAGATGTCTATTGACAAATGAGAATTAAAAAAAAAACTCTTGAACACTTTGGGTCCTTTGATTGACCTTTCTAATGTGTACCCCACATCTCCATCACTGGCTACTATGGAGATAGGCGCCATGACCCAGCACAGGCTCAAGCAGGTAGAGCAAAAAAAAAAATAAAATACAATTCACGATTTCATGTTTAGTGAAAATAAATACAACATTTCAGGGAAACCACATCACTTCTCAGAGTAGCAAAAGGGTGATTTGACAGCTTATTTTACAGCCATTGAACTTTGGTACTTTGGAGCTATTGAATCTTTTCTGTACTGTGGCCACAAAAGAACAGAGTCAAGATGTTCCAACTGTCTAGTCAAAGCCCAGACCTCAGCCTGGTGCACAGACTAATGTCAACACATCTCAGAGCAATCACGAAAGAAAAAAAATCCCTAAAGTCACATGGAAGACGAGTGCTTTAGGTCTTTATGGGTAATGATAGTTCTACTATTATGCATTTTATTTATTTTGGTGTGAAAATATTTAGTTTAACATATTGTGATGTTCATAAAGAAATGTGGGCTCCTCTGCTCAGGCAGCTGCCCTCGCGACCTGAACCCAGATAGGTGGAGATGGAGGGATGGTGTTCATATAAGACAGTTTCCTTGTTTTAGAAGAGAACAGACAATAATTAGGATGATGTGATATTATAAACTTTACTGAAATAATAGGACACACTTTTAAAGTAATACAGGGTTATAACAATAAAATTATATTTAAAATTGCATGCACTATACCTGCAAACATGTTAGCAACATTATATGGGGAGCTGATGTTATTAATTGAAATAATAAAAAAAATCATTAGCTTGTTTGTTTTAGTGTTAATAGACTTTATTTATAGTAACACACACAAGAAACATCACACCTTTTAAAAACCAGTTGTGCTTGTTTTCCACTCACATTTTATTCAGTAATAATAACAATAATCCTAATTATTATAATTAGGATTATTATTATAATCTGTTGCTTTTCCCTCAAATATGTTCTGACTTTTGTGACCCTGGAACAGTTATTGTAGTTTTTCAGATCACTGCCTGTTCCTACCAATAGCTCACCTGTATCTAACTACACCTATCAGAAATCAGTGGGCAGAATTAAATTGAATGTAACGGTGTTTGTTGGAACCACAACATGCACCAAACAAAGACAAAAAAAGCTTTTCACCAATAGCTGAGGCAGCATGGGCGCTGACATCATATCACTCCCACATCTCCCGCTCTTGATTTTAGCCCCACCCGCTCTTTTCCATTACCAAGTCAGTCTGTGTCCCTGTGTTATTTAAAGCCAGAGATCCTCCCTCTCGCCAAGCCACTGTGTTGCATCTGTCTGCCTCGCTGCTTGTGCGTCTCGGTGTGTGTGCGTGAGTGTGTGTGTATGAAAGTGTGCTAAAAAACCCAGGCAGCCAGTAGGAGAGCTAGAGAGCGAGGGGAGAGACACAGCAGAGAGGCAAAAAGCATCTGAGAAGGGAGCAAGGAACGGGAGTGTGAGACAGCTATGAAATTCATCCAAGCTGTTTGCTTACTGCTTCTCTTTCCAGCTTTGAGCAACAACACCAGGTAGGAAACAAGCAACAGCAGCTTTTATTTTGTAATCATTTTCTTTTAATTTCATCTTTACAGAGACTGAAACAAAAGGTGGTCCAGGTTCAATGCATGCCTTTAGGAAACCTTGCAATGCTGACCTTAAGGTCTGTTCAGTCATGCCAGATACTGAAGTCCTGTTTTGTCCTGGCATTGGCTCTCTGTGTTTCTAAGCATGTTGGATAACAGAAGACTTAAAGGGAGGAAGGAAGGGCTTATCTGTTCAACTAGGCTATTATCTTTCTCAGTTCGGGGCAGGCTGAGAGACAGTTGTCCTTTTGTGGTGGTAATTCACTGAATTTTCTGCCTCCGATCCATCCCGAATAGTAGCAGCATAGCTTTTTGGGGACTTTTCCTGCCTGCTGGTAGGGGTGGAAGTTGAAGTGACAGGAAACTGAGAGAAAGGACAAGGCTACTTGTGTTGCAGTGCATTAAAAAGAGTAGGTGCTCGTGTATGCGTCTGCAAGCGTTCTTATCTGCAACATCAGCTTTTAAAAAGGGAGGCTGACTGTGGTGATGAGCAATGAAAACGCACGCACGGGAGAAACGAACAGACGATACGAAGTTTGGGTGATTAATTACACCATTGATAAGAATCATCGCGTTGGCTCCATTAGTGCCTGACACCACTGGCTCAATGAGAGCCGTGAGAAGCAACCCTGAGCGGTGACTTTACCGTGGAGATGACAAATGCAGGGAAGGCATGCATTCTAAAACTTCCCCTTTCATTTTCCTCCCATTTCAGCTAACACTTCCATACCGTTGTCTTATTTTAGTGGTGAATTAGGAGGATGCAGCTGCAGAAAAATGCACAGTTTGAACAATGCATCTGAAGTCAGTTTTTCTTAAAGAATTTAACCAGATAGAAACATATGGTGCAATGCTAAACACTAAAAAGGATGTGCACCTTTAATTTGGTAGGGCAACAAGAATTTTGTGTGCGGCCACAATCTCTGTCGATGATATGATGATTCATGACTCATACTGTACAACTATAGCCTGCATTGATGTGTTGAGCTATGATCTCTGAGACATTTAAATTATTTTTTTTCTCACAAAAGACAAAATAATTTATGACTTTCACATAATTTTCAGTTTCTATTCTATAGCTGATTTGATGTCTTGCTTCTATTAACACTTTGGTGTCCTTTCTAGTCATTAAAACTCATTTTGTCTTTCAAGCCTTAAAATTAAATAGTGTGCACCATCATCATCCTTGGAGATACTAACTGGAGAGAGAGGCATTACGGTGGTAATTTGGCAGGTCAGCACGGATTGTTTGCAACCTCTTGAGGGGGAATGTCATGAAAAGTAATTACCAGACCACACAGATATAATCAGTGCTTTATTAGATGGCTTGTTTCCTAACTCAAGATAAAAATTATCTGTTTGTTGTTAAAGGCAGAGCGTTTCCCAATGGTGTTAACTCCACAGAGACATGCAAAAGCTTCATTTATTTAGGAAACTAGTGTAAAAAGAGAGACAATCCTAAATGAGCTTGTGCCTGTCATTAAGCAGAATTGCATTCCCATAGGTGTGCTTTCCATCTTCAGTAAAGACATGATGTGGTCAGCTAATTTCAAAGGTGCATTATGTAGAAAAGAAGTAAAAAATACATCATGTGGTAAAGTTTGGTTACTGCAACCACTTTATACAAATTCGGAGCTTTTTGCTGGCCGTCTTCAAATTACGATTGTCGGCACTGCAGCATTAGTTTGCAGGAGACAGGTTAACCCCACACACACTGATGGTAAACAGTAGTTACACCCCTCCTTCCTTTGTTTTGAAAGGAGAAAAACTGACAATCTCCGCAGACAGCTGGATATGAAGCATGTTTCAGTTAAACCTTCCTTCCTAAATGTCTGAAACACTAGACTCTTTAGGGATTTCTCACTGTAAAATCCTCACTATATTCTTACATACTGCACCTTTACAGTGCTGAGAACATCTTGGGAGCTTTTTATGTATAATTAATGTAAATGTGTCTTTGCATGATGAAAAAAAAAGAATACTTTTGTCCTTGAGTTGATTTTAAGGTTAATTTAACATCTGTGTTTATTTCCTGTAGTGAGCTAACCAGATGTTTAAACAAATGTGTTCTTATTCACTTTATCTCATGTGAGAATAATAGCAATAAAAATACCAAGAAAATTATGTCTTTGAAATGAATGAATGAATGAATGAATGAATCCAAATACTCCTGGCAGTATAGTCACCGTTTAAACAGCAGCATAGACATGGCAGAATAAGCTTTTATTTAATTTACTGCCTGAAGTTACCTGGTTATGTTGGGTATGCAACTGTAAAGTTGTTTCAGACACCTGATTACTCAATGCAAACATGGTCAAGTCTCCAGGCAAATGCTAACATTTGATTTAGCTCATTGTTTAAATAATTTATTCAAAGAAAATAACTGCTTCATTATATCATGTTGTTCTTAAACCACAATTCAAAAGAAGACATTATTTCATTCCAAAGAGCGTTTTAAGCTTCCTGTTTGGTAGTACTCTCGTGGTTTTTATTTCTGGTTCTTGCTTTAGGTTATTTTTGTTCTTTTTCTAGAGGTCAAGAACCCCAAGTATGCTTATTATTTGAAACATCTGTGTCTTTCCTGTAATGTTATTATGCCGAGGAGACCTTCCGAGAGGTGAATATGCAGCAGCAAAATGAATTATGTTTTCAGCTGTCTAGCATTCACAATGCCCTACTAGTGTAACTCTTTCTTAAGTCAATATAATCTCATGAAGGCTGGGTGAGACCGTACGTGCCATACGTTACAAATAACCTTCAATATATGACCTGGCGTCCCTTTAAGGAAATTGAATAACTCAAATTAGATCGTGGGCAGCTTTTATTGCTTTTATTTTTTTTTAGCTTTTTTGTTTCGTCCTACGTATTTATTTTCAGTAAAAATGTAATGAAACCTTATAACCATAATATCTAAAGTAACTTATTGCAGTGCATAAATACTTTCCTGCTGGGTATTTTGTTACTCAGATTAAGTTTAAGTCTTTGAAAACTGTATAACATTACATTCATTGTGTCTAACCTTTGCTCACACAAGAGTTGTGATGTAAGATTTAGATATATGGGTTAATTCTAGTGGATTGAGCTGGTTTCTCAGGCCATGTAAAAGTGGTGCAAAGCCATATGTCATTGCAGTAATCAATTAGTGCTTAAGTGGAACACAAGACCGCATTGGCAAGAGTCCCATGAGATATGACTGTCCACTGCTTAGTCAGGATTGGGAGGCTGGAACTCCACGAGCGTTCATTGCCTTTGTTATTTATTTATTTATTTTTATTTCCCAACAGATCAAACAGCTCCTCCTTTATAGACTTTCAAATATTCCCTTTCAGGTATTTCTTCTAGCATATCTGACACATCGTCTTGACCCCATCTTTGATGTCAGTTACCTTAGCGAGCTTCTTGGAAATGATGATATCTGGTGGGATTCCGTTAATATAAAATATTCACGATTGTTTTGGATTGCAATTAAATAGACTTCTGAGAGCTTTGGCTTGCACTTAAAGGAAAGCCTTAATGACTTCAAGTAGACGTGCCTGGTACATTAGAAGTTGTGTTCTGACAATAACCGTTTTTGACTCTGCAAACTACTCCCTAGGGTAAGGTACTATTTCATGGTAGTTTGAATTGTGGAGACCATGCCTTTATGACAGAAGCCTTCATACAGTGTCTTATACATTGCCTGGACTGAAAACACAGATCAGCATTTACATACGATCAATAAATGTGATGATTAAGAGATTCAAAAAAGTTGTACAGCAGCCCTGAGAAATTCCTTGTGATATTTTATTGAATGTGCACCCACAGCCTGATTTTTGATTTACACTCTAAAGAAAGGGCCTCATGTAACATAACACATCCATTGTTGAGGTATTTATGAACATTACCTCAAAACGTTAAAAGTGAGAACTGACTGAAGGTCAAGTGCAAAGAAGGTAGAGACTCTCATAAATAGGAGTTTTTGGATTGATGAAAATTGAAAAAACTCTTTAATTCTGGATTTACTTCGAATTCTGTTGAGTAGAAAGGTTAATATATCTGCAATTTCTTTTAAGAGGTCCTTCACTGAAAAAGCATTTTTACTATTGACTATTCCAACCTACCTGTTGGGATTTCATATTTTAATTTTAAGTTATATATATATATATATATATATATATATATATATATATATATATATATATATATATATACAATTTATTTTTGTTTTTAATTTCATTTAATTGTACCTATATTTTAGCTGTCATGCCATACCACATGCCTGATTTTGTGAAAAAGCATAATAAATGTGTTTCTTTTTTGGTAAACCTAATCCTCAGTAGAAATAAATGTACTGGGGGTGAATGAAGACCCATCCAAGATGGCGGTCAACCACTACGGCAACGCTAGTCCTGAGCTTCTGTGGTAAAAGCTAACCGTTAGCATTAGTAACTCCCCCACAGATCAGAACTCCTTCAAGCTTGTGTTATTTGTGGAGATAAAACAAAGTAAACAGAGTCAGTGGTTGAGTTGTGTTGCTGTTATCCAATCTGGGCGAATGTCTCCAAATATCATAAAGACTCTAAATTCTGCAGTCTGAAGCTACTTTTTTCTCTGGCTGAACTAAAACAGGAGCACCAGAGCCCCACCCCCACCCCCCCATTATGATTTTCAAGGCATTCATTCCTACAATAAACTACTGCAAATGTATTCAAAATATGAGTGAAGGACCTCTTAAATTCAAAGTTTAGCAACACAAAGTATTTGAACTTAGTCTAGACTTGATCATTCCCCTGTACCTCTCTGCTGTGCTTTGGCTCATTGTAAAAATGCATTTTCCCTGCCATGATTTCAAATAAACTAATATGTTCTTTCTAAATAACTGGTAGACAGTTAGATATTTGGTCAGTTTAAACTGACATCCATGCAAAAGCAGTCTTACTTTTCACAGAATTAGGTTTTAGGAATGG